TAGAATTTGAACAATAACGGATGCATTTTTTTTTGCAACTCACCTCCCCAGGCGGCATTGCGACTCTCGCACTCGCGATCGTTGCAAATAGCGGATTCCTTGTAGTTTCCAGGACAACTGCCGGACCTGCAGTAGCGTGTGCGTCTCTTAACGCCTGCTCCACAAGTAGCAGAGCACTGGCTCCACGACGACCATGTGGCCCAGTCGCCAATATTTGCCTCACAAGGTTGTTCATTACAGAAAGACTGGTCGCTTCCACTTCCATAGCATCCGCCACCGTTGCAACTTCTTGAACAAATTTTGCAATCCAAACAAATACCCATTTAGACTTCTGAGGCTACAAACCTGCTCCTCGACCGAATTCCGCGACCACACAGTCGACTACAATCCGACCACTCATTCCATGGAGCCCATTGTCCCGGTGGTGAAGAGCAAACTCCATGATTACATGACCTCCTTTCATGAGCTGAGCCATCACAAGGTTCCTTAAAATGAAGATTAGGCTTTCAAAAAATTTTCTGAAATGCTTCTTACTCTATGGCATCCTCGCGTTCGAACCATAGTGCCAGGACCGCAAGATGTGGAACATGTGCTCCACTCAGTCCATGATGCCCAAACTCCAACACCGTTGCAAGTGCCAGCGTCACATGAGCGAACTTCTATGTTCTTATCTGCAAGGAAAGGCTTAGGATTATGCCTTTATCTTGAAATGAAGGTTAATCCAGTTAGGGATTGCATGTCATTGATTATTGAAACTAATTCATCATATTGGTTAGAGGATCTGGAACTCGAGATTTGTTATTGTTGAACAGAGGGTTTATCATGCGTTAGGTTTAACAAAGCGATTATCAAAGAGAGGTATAGGGCGTGTTTTAGGGAAGAGACGTAGATGTAGTGTATTTGATACAATTTCAAATTCCAAGAGAAATTTTCAGATTTTCAAGTTAATGTACGCAAATCACATACTCTTTTTGTGTTAGTCACGATATTTACTTACATGTTAGATAGGTTATATCACATACTCTTT